GTAGTTCAAAAGCGGAAGTAAGACTGTCCTGTCAGTGGTGTGTTTTATAGGGTTCGACTTGAGGCACACAGTAGCTCGCCGCGCCAACTTAGAACACTGCGGCAGCATCAACGGCCGAGCGACTTCGGGCAAAATGGGAGGGGGAATCTCAACCCTTGATGCTGCTTCGGTCCTCTCTTGACCACATCTCTTCAAGGTAGATTCAGCGGACGACCAAGGCAGCATCGAGGTATAAGATCTCCTCCCATTTTGACCAATTTGCTTGGCCGTTGATTCAATTGCAATTTTCTGAGAAATTGGTCGTAACATAAACTATTGACAGTTCTTGGCGCCGTTCGGCGACGGAGGGGGGTCATTTCGCACTTCGCTGCTTCCATCTAAAGTTTGTGGAGACCACCTGTCCAATACGCCTGGCAGGACGGAATTCTGCCCTTTGAACAGCGCCTTTTTCAAGGAAGGTACCCTTATAATGCAATATCAAGCTACAACATACCGACAGGGACGCCCACCGCGCCCGCCACAAATGGACGACCGCACCTGACGCTCGTATTGCTTCATTTGCGAAGTAAAATATGAAGCGAAGGGATTGATATGAAGCGGCCGCGGTGCTGCATGGATATATGAGTACATACGTGCAGCCGTACCTACCGTAGCGGTTATTGGCAAGATGCCTACGGGAAACTCGTCCGAAATTGCTTTTGAGTCATTGAGAACGAAGGCTTTTCTTCGCAGGTTTTTGACCGTTTCACTTCGTTTTTTCGCCATTTTCCCGCTATAGCATCCTGTTAGCGTTCTAGACCGAGTACCAAATTATCCTGCCATATACCTTTGAGTAGAGGCGGAGCTGTTGGTATATTCTGAGGATTCACTTTACATGTTTGGTAATGTGCACAGGTGCTCAGCCCTCGCTGTGCGACTACTGCGACACAAGAATTAGATGGCCGCCAAGCTACCGCGCGCCTTCTGCCCACATCTTAGAAAAAGCATATTCCGAGACCACGACCGTGGAGAAATGATCGCCCAATGCGGCTAGGGGAGGGCATTTTGCTTTTCCGCTGCTTCCTATTGTCGTGTTCATTGCTTTACAAAATTTGACAGGAATTTTTTTACAAATGTTGACGCGTAGTTCCCACGAACTTTGGCTGGTATCACTTCATGGTTTCGAAAGATTTCACAACATTCCACTTGATAGCTTGATGGCTCGACACGACCGCGGGAAGAGAAAGTGAAAGTGCCTCCCCTCTCTCCCTACCCGAACTGCGCGGAAATGGGAAATGGAACTAGTGCGGAAGTGCTTCCTCAGAAAGTATAGGTTCGATCCCCTACAATGCATTGTATCGGCGAAATGTTTACTTGTTGTTGTTGAAAGAGGCGGTTAGTAACCCTGGGGGATGCACATCTGTAAGGTGTTTCAGGGTGTGCCTTTGCCTTTCTTTTTTTTCCTTCTTTTGCCTTTTCACATTCGTGTATCACCCTGCAAGTCCCGTTAATTCTTGTAAAGTACCGTGTACACTCTTGTCAAACTTGGTGGAATGTGACTACCGTCATTGGAACGCCCTTTTTCTACAAATCTTGACGGGAGAAGGCAATCGTAATTTGCCGCTCCGCCGCGCGCGACGATAGGCGCGGCGTTTTCTTAACTCGTGTTAACCTGTCGACTGGAGCACCGGACTTCATGTAGACCCCGTCATCGTAGACATTCATGACTATTTTCGGTTCTGAATTGCCTGTTGTCGCCATCTACTACCTGGAACCATCGTCATTTGCGGGCGCGACGTCGCACGCGACGCCCACCAGCGCGGTGAATTACGATTCTCTTGTCACATACCCAATCTTGACCAGTCATTTTGACAAGTTGACAGGAGCTAACAGGGTGCTTGACAGGTGATAACAAGGCTTACAAGATGTTGACGAGGTTATCCGGTATTTACATGCATACAGTTCGCAGGAATTGGTATGCTGCTGACGAGCGCTTGCAGTTGTGCCCCCCTCCTTTTGCCTCCCCCTGTTGTGAAGCTTGTATTCCACGACGGGTATCATAGCTTCTTTATTGTCGTAACATAGGTAATACAACCGCTAACTCCGTAAACTGAACCTCACTCTGTCATGAGTGGGGCTTATATATCACACTATAGTGATATGAGCTTATAGGCGAAAACACCCCCACCACAGGGTTCTTATCGCCTGCGCAAGCTTTCCTTTTTTTTGCAAACTTTCAGTAAAATGGTCATGTTATGGCTCCATTCAGAACACTACTTCACTTGTATTCAGTCGCTTAGCAGTTTTTCTGCGCCTATGTCGCTTCTTTCAGATTGTAATCGAAGTCCTTCATGATTTGATGCAACGACTTATTTTTTTCTTTTCTTTTTTTTCCTGTATGTTCTCATCTTCAGATTTTATTCGCCAAAAAGGCTTGTGAGAAAGCTGGCGTTCCTTTTCGAGAAAAGATGCGAAGAGCACCACTTCAACTGTGCATCGACCCGGAGTTTTCAATGTTGACTCCCTTCATCAATCAGGTAAGTTCAGTTTCTTACAGCATTTTCTGAACTATTGTTTTTTTATTAGATGAACACTTCAGGAGGAACCCGCTAGCCAGAGCACATCCATCTATGACGAAGTTGACCCCAAAGTTTACCTAGATCTCTATGGCAATGAGCCACCTGTCAAGGTAAGGTGTCTTTTAGGGGGGGGTCACTTCCATGTTGAAGGAGTTTTTTTTTCTAAAGTGAGACAAAATAAAAACAGTGATGTGATTCAGGTGGAAGCGTGGAATGTTGGACCTGCTACGTTTACGCCTCGTTTCTCGGCCACATCGGCGAAGGTCTCTGAACAACATAGCTCTTGAAGAAAAATCATGCATGCTTCAGTAGTCTGCTAGGATATTACTATTCAAAAGAGTTATGGTGTTGTACTATACGTTATAGTCGATTAGAAGATTTAAGTTGTTAATTTGTTAATATCCAAATAGGTCTCTATGATTGTTTACATTTTCGTTGAACTGAGCTGCTGTTCATAAACGATATACGCTCAACTTGTGTAAAAAAACTACACTATATGGAAAAATACGCTATGTGGAATTATGTGCAGTTCGGCTTGGTGGGGGCATTTTGCTGGTTCCCATCTATCTCTGCGGATGCCTACCGTTAAGACCGTAAATTCCTGTCAAGCTATGGAGTAGCAGGAGCTTCGTTGACGCTTGACAAGTGCTTACAAGTCCCACCAGGTGACACATGATGAAAGTGTAAAAGTGCCCCTTCTGAGTCGACAAGCAACGCCTGACAAGCAAGTGGAATTTTCTAGCGCCTCCTGGGGCTCTATTTTCCGAGCAGCCCTGATGTTGATTAGATAAATGATTAATGAGTTCCCGAGCGCATGGAGGTGATACAATGATAAAGTGGACCACTGAACGCCTGACTTGAAAAAATTTCGGAACCGTAGTGATAACAAGTACCCGAACGTGAAAGTAGGTGGGAAACCACCCCGCCACGCTCGCCCGTGCAATTGCTGCGGTTGTGTATGGCTGCGTTTATACTTTACGGCAGCGTACGCCAGCGCACGCTAGCGTTTCCAGCGTTCGGCAGCGGCAAGGAAGGATGTATATCGATCTAGCGTCACCAGCTTACGCTAGCGTAACGCTAGAGTATTCTAGCGTTACGCTGGCGTACGCTAGCGTAGCGAGGGCAAGGAAAGCATAGGTATCGATTTAGCGTTTCAGGTATATATGTATATGTATGTTATATGTAATATATAGGGTTTGGGTTTACATAGGGTTCGGGTTTCCTCTGAAGGGTTCCTCCCCTTGCCCACGCCCACTTGCTTTTTGCGGAATTTTGATATTTTTCAAAATTTTTGCGTTTTTGGTCTGCTACGTGGAGACCACCTGCTACTTGGAGCCCCGCCCACTGTGAGAGGCTCCGCCCACTCCGAAAAAGCCCGCCCACTTTTCAAAAATGGTGCAAATCGGCAGTATAGAGTCTTGGCTTGCATGCTAGGGTCTCGTCCGTCACTCGGAACAAAAAAAAACTTTGCTGATTTATTTGTTCCGAGTGCATCATTGACGGAGTGCAAAACTTCGAATTCCCGGTGTCGCTTGTGTGTAGCGGGTAACTCCAAGCATAGCGCAATGGCGCGTTGAATGATGCTAACCGCATGCTTATCCTGTTTTCGTAAAGTCTAAGCCTCCGAGGCAACGTTAGGACAGGAATGGCCGTGGAATCGAACGGTGGGCACGGATCGGGTGCTCTCTCTCTCTGTCTGTCTCTTCGCTACTCCCACAATGTTCTCGAGTGTTCCTCAAAGTTCTTCCCCCTACGATGCCGTCATTAGCGGAAGTGGATTTGAAATGGAATGATTCGCGTTAAATGCGCACAAGAAATTGTAACGACGACAACATCGTCACCTACCATGCTAAGGTGGTTAGGAGAAGCCGGTTCCATCCGTATTATCATGTAACTCGACGTGCTGTACTACTGTGAATGTGACTAGCCAACGGTGTCTGATGAGAACGCTTCATGCACTACCGTAATCCCGCTCGGCGGAATCTGGAACGGTTTTTTGATCCCGTCCAACAAGGTCGTTAAATGTTTCTTCGTATAGCCGTCGAGGTCGTCAGCCTCTTCAGTGTTGCGTTACTCGCGTGCCTCTTCAGCCACGGCCTCAATCGGTCGTTTTTGGTTTCTACGCCTTAGACTACTTGGAGCCTTCTCCAGCTGTTATGGACTGATGTCATTTCGTGAATTCGCTGCCGCTACTAGTGGGTGTCTTAACGTGGACGAGCACTTGCCAAAATACAACCTCCTTCCCTCTTAGTCCGTCGACCGGTGTGTCCCCTCTGATCACCTATTAAACAGTAGACTAAGGAGTTATAAAGCGCGTGAACCTGTTACTTTCAGTTAATTGGTACACTTTGGCTGCCTAATCTTCTGGCCATCTACTAACCAGGACACCATGTTCGTTGAAGATCTCAGACCGGGGGTTGTTCTCCTGTTTCGCCGAAATTGAGGGGGGTCATTTGGAGAAAAGAAACTTTTTCGCTAATTGTTTATTTTTTCGTTTAGGAGCACTGCTCTAACACTTCATCCATTCTCCTTAGCGCTGCGGAATCGCTATTCTTATATCCAATTCGGAAGGTGTGCTGCAAGGGTAGTCTACCCCTCCCCTCCCCGGCTTGACGCTATTTGAAAAGGGTTGGTTAGCACGATTTGCGTCGCGGGTCGTGAAAGATAGAGGGGGAAAGTTGCTCGTTAGGAGGGAGAAAATTTCAAAGGTAGAAAAGAAAAGTATTCAGCCGAAAATTCTCCGCGAACCCAATGGCTTCTTTCTTTTAGGGGGGGCCTTTGGTTCAGGAATTCTCTCAACTGTCTCATCTCCTCTTTCTTTTTTTTCCTCCACATATTCCAAGGTCACAGAAAAGGTTTAGCTGGCTGAGGCGCATCGCTAATCGGCGAAATAAATAAAGCGATAAGTCTTTGCCGCTGCCGTTGAATCCCTTTGTGCGGCATGCGGCACGCCTTCATCTTCATCACCAATCAGCCGTTGGCTATTTGAATGCGCTGGTTGGCCTATATAATGCACTTGCTTAGGCCAGCCCGATCAGCAAAGTCAGCTGTTCTGTACAGCAAACGAATTCTGGTTATCATCCACCGTCTCGTATAGAATGGAAGGCTTAGCCGTCTGACGGCGGCGGGACGGCGAGAGGAGAGCCGCCAGTCCGTAGGATCTTTTTTATTTCCGCGCGACGTGTGTAAAATGTGCCACCTGCAGTACACCCTCCCGGCCAGGACTGCGGGAGATTTAGGATGGTCTCAATAAAAGATAACGAATAAAAACTTTTTTCCCACTGATCAGTTCCTTTTTAAGGATGCAGCACGCATTCTGCTCCAATTCAGGATCGTGGTGGCTGACCGAATGCAATATGACCTATACAATAAGTTGCGGCGAACAGCTGATGCCTAAGTCAGCGTTTTCATTCTTCCACAAAACTGTGGTAACCAATAATTATCGGCCCAGGAGGTATGAATCGCTTTGCTGGCCTGGGTGGTAGCCTATCCAGGGTTTGACTTCCGGACCGTATGTGTGATGAACGGGCCACTTACCACCTCACCACTTTCGCCCAAAACGTCGGTACGTGACACGACAATCGTAATATGCCGCGTCAGGCATGGTGAGCGACGCAGCGTAGACGAGGGACGAGTTGTCCTGCTCGACTGTTTGAATGTTAAAGGGACATGAAAGGTTGATATCACTTGGCATGAAGTATTGCCTCCGCTTGAATTTCGCTCCTGCCACTGACAAACTGAGACACACCGAGAATTCGCTCGCAGCGTGTCAGGATGCGCCACGCTCTACGGCGCGGCCTACGTACGATTGTCTTGTCCGTCTCCCCAAAACGTCTAGTTGTCCGCAAAACCGAAAAGCACACATTTGCTTTGGAGTCGCATTGGAGGGTAGCGCGAAACTTGCAAAACTGGTTCTGAGTATGTCCGACTCGTTGTTTTTGGAAACATATCAAAGAAATATCTTACCGAAGAGATTAATCTACCGCAGTGGTGGTTCCTTTTTCCCATTTCCTTTCTCTGAAGTTCTCTGTTTTCTGATTCTTTGATTTGATGACATTGACGATAACGATAACTAGGTGGCTCCCACTCACTATTGCTGTTTTTCTCATCGATGTGCCCCTCCTGCCTATAGCGTTAAAGGCATTAACGAGGAAGGCACAATGGTTGTGGCCTCCTCCGCCCATCCGCTTATCGCGAAATGAGCATTTAACGAAAAGTTCACGTCGCGACAAAGTCCACGATAGCTTCAGCAGAAGCTATCCGTTTTCTTTATATATTCGAAAGAGATTCCTTTGTTGGCCAGAGCGGAGTAAAGTCTTGAGCCTTCTTGGTGTATGCTGGGCACGGTTATTATAAGTGACACTCAGCATGATATAGCGCTGTGGGTCAACAGATTCCAGTCACCCAGCGGGAAGTCTGTCCCATATTTCTGACAGAGCATGAGCGAGGGCTTTGCATGCTGTCAAGCGGGAGTGCAATTATTTTATAGTATCGCTCAGCATTCATTAATCAAAATTTACTGCACATCTGCCCCTCAACAATCTCTATATGATTACCCCATATCTTATGGCTCCAAGACCGGTTGATGTTTCTTCAATAAGATCATAAGAAGAAGACAATGGATCAACTGATGCCGATAGTTTGACCCAATTCAGTGGCGTGGATGTAGGCTTACAAAAAGGCCAGAAATAAGCCCGTGTCGGATGCTGTTATTTTTAGCCTCTGACGCGCAACCGGAACCGATGACATGACTTCATAGTGAGTGACATAAATGAGCTGTGGCGTAACGACATAGTGATTGATTTGTGGCGCAACTAATCATGAGGGCCAGCCGTGCAGATTTTTGTGGCATAGACCGAAAATAAGCGATTATCCGTGCCATGGAGTTGAGGACAGGGCACAGGCTGATGTCGTTTAGACGCGCTAAATTTTGGCTCTGGCTCATTTATGAAGTGCCTAGGTCACCAAATCCGATGAAAACTTGTATACAGGGGTAATTTAACATCCTGATTACGAATATGACACATTCATTTCTTGGCGCTGAGGCGCTAATGAGAACACACGATTATCTGCGCTTAAAGGCTAGCCAGAGATTGTGGTCTCTTAAGGCCAGCGCCAAGAATGAATGTCGTACTCGTAAACAGGATGTTAAGTTATCCCTGTGTACAAGTTTTCATCGGATTTGGTGACCCAGGCACTTCATAAATGAGACAGAAGCTAAAATTTAGCGCGTCCAATCGGCATCAGCCCAGGGCACAACATGCAATGAGGGAAGTTCTCACAGACA